GAGGACGGGGGGGGTGGAGGGAGGAGGGGGGGGACACTTGCTCCCTCTCCTGTGTCACTGTCGCAGAAGTGAAACTGATTTTTCTCTCTTCGCTTCCTTGTGAATCGGAGAAAAACTTCAGAGAATTGAGTCGCCGCCGGGGAGAGGTCAGGAGGTGACTGCGGGGGGAAATCTCTCCACTCTCTTCTCTTCTTTTCTTCTATCTATCCATCCATCCATCCATCCATCTATCCATCCATCCATCCATCTATCCATCCATCCATCCATCCATCATCCATCCATCCATCCATCCATCTATCTATCTATCTATCTATCCATCTATCTATCTATCCATCCATCCATCCATCCATCTATCCATCCATCCATCCATCCATCATCCATCCATCCATCCATCCATCTATCTATCCATCTATCTATCTATCTATCTATCCATCTATCTATCTATCCATCTATCTATCTATCCCTCCATCCATCCATCCATCCATCCATCTATCCATCCATCCATCCATCTATCCATCCATCCATCCATCTATCCATCCATCCATCCATCTATCCATCCATCCATCCATCTATCCATCCATCCATCCATCATCCATCCATCCATCCATCCATCTATCCATCCATCCATCCATCTATCCATCCATCCATCCATCTATCCATCCATCCATCCATCCATCCATCATCCATCCATCCATCCATCCATCTATCTATCCATCCATCCATCCATCCATCTATCCATCCATCCATCCATCATCCATCCATCCATCCATCCATCTATCTATCCATCCATCCATCCATCCATCTATCTATTGCACAAGGCGTCTCAAACTCCTGGCTAAGGGCCCACAGAAATGTGGTTACATACAGTATATATTCATATATATATATATATATATATTTATATATCCAGTGTGTGGAGTGTATATCTATTGCCCTGTGGCTCACTGAATGAGGGTCAACAACCGTGCACCGTGTTGAGTCAGACTCAGCCAGCATCTCTGCTGTGACTGCGGCTGACTGGGCCTCTCAGCCATCCGGCAAACAACGTCAGGATCTGCTGTGATGAACGTCCGCAGAGTCTGAGCTGAAACCAGACAGTAAACATTTTGAAATCAGCTCTCGGTTTGATAATGCCAACAACACGGGTCGGTCCAGGGCAGACATCAGGACTCAACAAGAGTCGCGGAACAAAGGACAACACACACTCAGAAAGAAAAATAAGGGCAAGGACATCACGTCAGCCACAGCTCTTCTCTTCAGTTCAACTGAAATGTTTGGCTACCTGAGTGACTCATTCGGTTTTGATTGAAATTTACGAACGAAAAAAAGGAGGTCCAAGATCAGTAGCAGATGGAATATTTATTATTATTATTATTTATAGTCCCTTCCCATTCATACTGCAGTGTTTGGGTTTTTTTTTGTAAGAGTGAGTGAGAGACAACCTGTGTCAGGGGCAAGATGGAACGTTCTGGCATGTTCTGGCAAAGTTTTTGACTCGCGGGCCACAATTGTCCTAAAATCGAACAGGCCGGGGCCGGGTCAGGAGCAGATAGATGGGAGCTGAGATAAATGACATGTAAAAGTCACGCATAAAGGCTAAAATGGTTTTTATCATTTTCTACGACATCTACTGGGGAAACGTGGGTATTGCAGGGAGTATAATGATAATGTAAATAAATAAAATAATTTGGAAAAATTTGCTTCCGGCTCCCGGGCCTTAGTTTGTCCATGCCTGTCTACATCACATGACCGTCCTTCACTTTTCTGCATGTCCTCTTCTTCCTGGAGACAACTGGACTTTTCTTTTTTTTTTACACTATTTAAACTAAAATGCATTTATTTATTTTTTCTCTTTGGCTGTTTGTTTTTTTTTTTTTGCCAACGAGAGCTTGAAACTTCTACCCTTCCCCCCCCCTCTCTCCTCAACTCTCTCCCTCCCTTCTTCTGTCTTTTCACTCTTCTGTCCATCCCTCTGACCCATTTGTCTCACCCAGACACTCCCACCACTCCCCTGTCTTTCACGAGAGTTCCTTCCATTCCTACGGTTCGTGGACCTGGATTTCCAGACTGAGGTCCAGAAAGATTCCGTGGACGAAGCCAGAGGTCAGAGTGCAACGGCAGGGGGGCGGGGGGGGGGGGGGAGGGGGGGGGGGGGGGTTTGGGGGTTGTCTGCTCAGCTGTTTCCTCAATATGTGGACGGGGGTGTGTCTGGACACCATGGGAATGTGTGTGAGAAAAAGTCGCAAACAAAGCTGTGTGGAGGCTCAGAGTGTGTGTGTCTCCCAGTGAGGACGCACTGGTCACACGGAGCTCTGAGTCCACCGGGATTTCTCTTGACTTTCGTTTTCCTTCTGAGATTTTTTTGTTCTTCACTTGGAGCAGCGTTCCTTTAACTCAGTGGAACATCTTCGTACTAGAACAGTCGAGGAGTTTTTAGCACACACACAATTAGCGTGATATTGGTGATGATGAGTCTGATGTGTTAATGAGGATGATGATGATAATGATGATGAGGATGGTGATGATGGTGATGATGATGAGGATGGTGATGATAATAATGAGGATGGTGATGATGATTAGGATAATAATAGTGATGAAGAGGAGGATGATAATAATGATGAAGAGGAGGATGATAATAATGATGAAGAGGAGGATGATAATAATGATGAAGAGGAGGATGATAATAATGATGAAGAGGAGGATGATAATAATGATGAAGAGGAGGATGATAATAATGATGAAGAGGAGGATGATAATAATGATGAAGAGGAGGATGATAATAATGATGAAGAGGAGGATGATAATAATGATGAAGAGGAGGATGATAATAATGATGAGGATGGTGATGATGCTGAGGGTGATGATGATTAGGACGGTATTGGTGATGAAGAGGGTGATGATGATGATAATGATGAGGATGAGGATGATGATAATTAGGATAATAATAGTGATGAAGAGGATGGTAATAATGATGAGGATGGTGATGATGATTGGGACGGTATTGGTGATGAAGAGGGTGATGATGATAATGATGAGGATGGTGATGATGAGGATGAGGATGATGATAATTAGGATAATAATAGTGATGACGAGGATGGTAATAATGATGAGGATGGTGATGATGATTGGGACAGTATTGGTGATGAAGAGGGTGATGATGATAATAATGATGAGGATGTGATGATAGTGATGAGGATTGTGTGTTCATGAGGATGATAATAATGATGATGAGGATGGTGATGATGATTAGCGTGATATTGGTGATGATGAGTCTGATGTGTTAATGAGGATGATGATGATAATGATGATGAGGATGGTGATGATGGTGATGATGATGAGGATGGTGATGATAATAATGAGGATGGTGATGATGATGATGATGAGGATGATGATGATGATAGTAATGATGATGAGGATGGTGCTGCTGAGGGTGATGATGACGATGATGAGTTGTTAGGACTGTGTTGCTCCTGTGTGTTGTCGTCGTCGTTGTTGTATTGACCACTAAGCGTTGTCTCTGAACTGCTCTGTTCTGTCTCACTGTTCGTTCACGACCAGAGATGGAGAACTACTGTGTGTTCTGGTCTGGTATTGCTATACTCGTGGAGACATTTTTTTTTTCCCCCCACAATTCAAAATCAAAGTATTTTGAGGTTAGGATAAATCTGAAATAGTGCAGTGCAGGGAATGGGAACTATGTCTATTGTGAAGTGCTGACAAAAGAAATGTGTGTGTGTGTGTGTGTTGACTTGGCCCTGACCTCTGTCTGCCCTCGGCAAAAATAGTGTGAGAAAACGTCTCCCTCTGTGTGTGTGTGTGTGTGTGTGTGTGTGCCCAAACTTGTATTCATTATGTTGTGAGGACGACAGTGAGTCATAAGTTTTATTTAGTCCTTTGAACGTCCTGTAAAAATTTTTGGACCCAAAAAATGTATTAATGTCCAATATATTGTATTTATTATGTGTTATAAATTTCAATATTTTTTTTAAAATATATTTTCTCCGATGTCACTGACCTGACTTATACGGTGTCGTTAGTTAATCCTGACTTTGTTATGTTATGGTTCTCTTAGTTGATGGTCCATAATTATTATTTTCTCAAGGTTTCTCAAGGTTTAAACTCATCTGCCATCCTTTTATTAACCAATCGCAAATGTCGATCCAACATCAGTTCGCGTAAAATCCAGTACTTCTTTTGTTTTACTGCAGTACCAGAGTCATTGTACTTCCAATCCGTTCATCCATTCAATCTCACCTAACTTCAGTCAGATTCTTGTCCCGCTCCTAACGCCCTCTGGTGGCCCCCTGAAAGGGAGACGTGCCTCCCACTGACGTTTTAACTTCAAGGTTTTAAACTGGCAAAAATGCTATTTCACCAAAAGAATTTTTTTTTTTTTTTTCCTGTCTGCCTACAGCCCAGCTGGAGTTCGTGCAGATCTTGGTCATCGTGGTGGTGATGATGGTGATGGTGGTGGTCATCACCTGTCTGCTCAACCATTACCGCCTGTCGGCTCGCTCTCTTCTCACCAGACACTCCGGCGCCCACAGGAGGCACCTCCCTCTGGCCAACGTGAGACCTGCAGCTCAAGTCCGTTGTCTTACGTCAGTGCTGCGGTACAGAAACACGAACCCTTAACATCTCTGTCTTTCAGGAGGGGGGTCTCTGGTCGTCTGAGGGCACAGCCCCCAACGCTGGACTCAGTGAGGTGAGTTTGGGCTCCAGCCCTAAATGTGACGACAAAAGAACGGACAGATGTCTGACTTGATGTCTCTCCCGCTCCTCTCCAGGTCTACAACCCCCGCCTCCCTGACGCAGGTGTCCACGTGTCCTACCTGCAGCGAGAGCCGCAACACGCCGCGCCCCAGCACCAGCACCAGCACCAGCCTAATGTCCAGCCTCACCGCTTCCAACACACGTATGCGCCGTGTCGCTTTCAGCCCACGTACCCTTACCTGCCCCAGAGCCTCATTGACTTACCGCCCACCATTGCCCTGTCGGACGGGGAGGAGCCCCCGCCCTACCAGGGCCCGGTGCGTCCTGCATCTCGGTGATCCAGAGCAACAGATGGATCTGAACCGCGAGTCGGTTAGAGCTCCGCCCAACAGGACGGTGTTCGACTCCCACCCCATTGACCTGTCCAACTCCTGCCTCCAGTCCAGGTGAGGTCCTGTCTCTCAGCGACTCCGTGAGTCGGTCTGTTCTGCTGTGGTCACATGTCAAGGTCGAGGTTTTAAGAGTGAGTCTGGGCAAAGGTCGATGGCCAAGCGCACTGTCTTGGACATAGCTTGGACCAGTACTTAGGTCCAGTCACTAGGTGGCAGCAACTCATGCAGTGGTTTGCACAGATACAAATGTCAGGTTCTCGATGGTATTTCAATTCAGGAGAGGGTGGGGGGGCGGGGAGGGGGGATGACAGAAAATGATTGAGAACCACTGCTTTACACTGTCTTGGACTTAGCTTGACTCCACCCACCCATCATCTCAGATCATGTGACAAATCATGTGACATGACCCTCGAATCACTCCCTCCTTGTCCTCCAGCCTGCAGGCTCCTCCTCCGAGCGTCAACCCGGGCCTCAGCGTGTTCGAGGCCCAGGAGGCTTCGCGGCAGCAGAACCCGGGCGCTGGACTTGAGGGGGCGCCCCCTGCCTACAGCGAGGTGATGGGGCACTACTATCATCCAGGATCTGTGACGCCCGGTCACAGGCACCGGACTGTTTCCCACGGACAGTTACCCCCGTCCTCGCTCGTACACGGCCTACTTCGACCCACAGCTCAGCAACAAGGAAGCATGAACAGCAGGAAAGCCAAGGAGAAATCCCAGAAGCCTCAGCAGGTGTGATGGTACTGTTTCCTGGATCCTTGGTTCCAGGGGGCGCAGGAAAACCAGGATTAAGTCGTACGGCTCTCTGGAAGACGGTTCAGTAGGTGATTGGTTAACCACCTGGTGAGTTCTTACCGATCTAGTTCTCCTTCGTCACGGATTGAGCGGTGACCACGAGGGGGGCGCACACAAAACCTCTTTAGGTCACAGCATTTGTTTCCGAATGCGAACTGCTGGTTCATTCCTGCAGACAGAGAACAGTCACACCGGAAATGCGAACTGCTGGTTCATTCCTGCAGAGAACAGTCACACCGGAGCATCTGGTTCTTTCTGTTCCGCCATTTCCTGTGCACTTGAGATGAAGCGATGACGATGATGTCAGAGGGAGAGGTCTTCCCGTAACTCCTCTCACCCTAACTATCAGACTGAGTCGATCTCTTTTTTTTCGTTATAAATATGTACTTGTTCCGTTCGTTTCGTTTCGTTTCTTTTCCCGTCACAGATTCTCAGCTTCCTCCAGGACGACTCTGGTTTTCCTGCGGAAGTCCCTTCCGCCGCTCTTTCCACGTCTTTGTTCTCTATTTAAAACCGCGGCTCGGGTCCCGCACCAGTCGTCAGCTGTTTTCAGCGGAGGCGTGTTAGCACTTCAGAGTATTTGCAGGAAATAATAGTTAGCATTAGCAAAAAAAAAAAAAACTAGCGTACCAGTCATAGCACGGTGCTAATGCGTTCTCATGCCAAACATGCTGCCTTATGTTGACCAACTGGTGCAGGAGCCGTGGCTGGAACGTTTGTGTTACGTTTTACGTGTTTTTCAAAGAAGGTTTGCACAAAGTTCGAAACTGTTGACAAAATGTGTTTGACGAGAGAAAGAAAGTAGAGAAAGTAGGATATTTTTCTAAATTAGGTGAGGTCAGATGTTTTTCTTTTGTATGTTGGTTAGTTGTAGAAGAAGAAGGGCGGGTTAGTCGTCGGGGTGCCAACTTTCACCTTGAACATTTTGTTACACATACATGTTGGCATGTATATTACCTACGGATGGACTATATATGTACACACCCACACACACGTATGCAAACAGAGCGATTTTAAAAGCACGAATTTAGAGTTATTTATATAATTGCTAATAAGAATTGCACTATTTTTTTTTTAAGTCTGCGCAGATGGAAGTTTAAAGAGAGATTTTTTTTATTGTGAATGAGCTCAGTTTTCTGAGAATAACCACACACACATACATATACCCACACAAAGAGAGAGCCTCCTGTGGCCACAGGTGGAGTTTCAGGCTACATCCGTGCACAGTCCTGACAACCTTTCAGAATAAAAGTCTGACTCTGTTACTGAACCATTGAGTCAAAAAAAAAAAATCCAGAGTTTATGCAATGGTACAAGTCCTAATCATTGGGTCCAATCAGAAACTGTGTTTGCTGCTCTCTCTCTCTCACCTCATTGGCCGAATCATTCCCAATCGCAAAGTCAAAAATCTGCTTCATCAGACCGTGGCATCAGAGCAGGTTTGAACTAATCAAGATGATGAGTGACGTCAGAGCTGACGTTGTTTTTTTTTTGTTGTTTTTTTTTTTTTTAAGTCAAACTCAGTTTTGTTCACTGGGTGAAAAGAGAGCAGCACCAGAACCGACCCAGAGATCTGGAGAGAACCGTGATGTGAGTTTGGGTGATACACACGCACCCGAACTGTCTGTGCACGGATGTAGCCCCACTGTAGACACACATACAACACGCCTGTAACTTCCTGTGGTCTGGGTCCGTCTCTCTCTGGCGCAGGCATCTTTGAGCACTTTACTGCAGCAGGAAGAAGACAACAATCTCCAGTCAGCCAGCGACAGCCGGGAGGAAACTGAAAAACCCTAATATTCAAATGCGTAGGTCTCTCCGGAGAAGAAGCGGGAAAACGAACAGGTTAAACATCGCTATTCATAACGTTAGGAGCAAACATCTTTGTTCCGGAAGCAGCGTCGGACGAGTTGTTTCGAGCGAGACACAGTCAAGTGTTGAAAAGTGACACGAGTGTTGAGAAACAATTCGTCTTCCGCTGTTTCTTCGGGGTATATATATATAAATATATATATATATATATAAAGTTAAAAAAAGTTTGTTTTTCCCCTTCTTTCAAAGGGCAGAGAATAAAAACGTTCTCTGCACAGTCACTGTGACTTTACATCGACAGGAAACTGCGTGACGCCAGCGCCCTCTGCTTGTTCAGCCTTTATGCAACAGCGCCCTCCACTGAGACTGGACCGAACTGCAGCCAAAACTTGAAGTTCGCGATTGTAGCCAAGTGTAGTGATTTACAGGCCAAAAGAATAACGTTTCAATCTATATTACATGTACATATATACACACGTATATATGTATTTATATATATATATATATTCTTTTTTATGCTGTTGCCTTATCTTTTCTAAAAAAAATAAAATAAAAAATCACAGGTGTTGAGACATTTAAGTTTTTATGATTTTGAAATTGAAAGTTTGGACTGAATTCTTAAAATTCAGAGTTTAAAATTAAATGTTTTGGGTTTTTTTTTTTTTTTTTGTCCTCAACACTTGAGATGCCAAAAAAGTTCAGTTCACGAATCAGAAGCCATGATTACTCTGCCGTGTTTACAGAATCACCTTTGACCCCAAAGGAGCAACAAAGAAGTCAATCAGAGTCTGAACCAGTATTTCCACTGTGTTTGGATCATAATGATAGCCATGGCTCCAAAGTTACCTTAATTTTACGTCTTTACCCCCTTATCTTTAATCACTCCCTTATCCCCCCACTACTGTTTGACAAAGCAGTTCCAGGTCCCCGCTGTGGAGGGTTAGCAGCGGGTAAGAGGAGGCTGAACCTGAGGGCTGTGGCCCAGGCTTTATGACATTTAAATTTTAATGACATTAAATTAAATTTTTCCAAAAGTAAAAAAAAAAAAAAAAAAAAAGGTGATGTTGCATTCAGGGATGGCTAAGCTGGCTGATGAAATATATATATATAAATATATATATATATTTAAAAAAAAACAAAGACAGGTGGAGGAGAGAGGAGGAAACCTCATGGCGGCGATACACAACATTCTACATTCTTAACACCGAGCCACGCTCCCATCCCTCACTCACACACTCACACACGTTTCCTGCCTCCTCTCCTCTCCCTGTCCAAACATTCTCTTCCTGTTCCCTTCAGATGCCTGCTGACCAATGAAAGAGCTATTCCTCTCTGGCCCTTTGGCCGCCATTGGCCAGCTCTCTTTTTTTGTAGACGTTCATTGTTGTTTATTGTTGCCATGTGTGGTGACAAGTTTGACTGTGTGAGTGGCTACGTCTGGGCTGTCAATCACCTTGGCCACACCCCCTTACTGTCTCACATGATGCTGATTGGATGATGATGATGATGATCGTAATGATGATGATGATTGTTCTTTTGTTGACAGTGATGCCACAGAGAGCGTTGCAATACACCAACTGTTTGCCTTGTTTTTTGATGTAATTAGTCGCGTTTTTACGTAGCTTGACGATGTTAGTTTTTTGTTTTGTTTTGTTGTTTTTTTTTTTTCACTTTTTATATCGTTGTTTGTTTACTTGAGATCGAAAAAGTTCACTTTTATCATCCGCATTTTCTCTTCTCTGTCCGTGGAACCAAATCAGAGGGTGGGAGGACGTCTCATTCTAAAGTGTCCTTCCGGGTTCACATCCGCCTGAAACATATTTCTCTTAGCACTTGCCCAGTGCTCTGTTGTGTCTGGAGACTCAGCACAATCTCGAATCACTGTTTCCTGGTCCGACCCAGTCTCTCCACCCGTGCCTTCATGGTGTCCATGTCAGACAACACTGTACTCCTCTCGGCCGCACGTCTGTTCACACCGGGTCAAAAGAGAACCTCGGACTTTGAGCCCGACCTCAGACGCTGGGGTTTTCAAGGTCCGACATTGACGGACACTCAGTTGATAGTATTACTTACATTTTATTACAGTATTATTTGAGATGTGTGGACACTGAACACACATATCTCTGGCGCCCCCCAGTGGAGGACCACAGACTAAGATGTAAGGTCAAAGGTCGTCTGAAATGTAATCGATGATATTACATTGAACATAATACGAGACGTGTTTAAAACTGTCCGTCTCGTGTCGCTGGTGTAAAAAAAAAAAAAAGCAACGCTGAAACAGAACAGAACCGGATTTTGCTCTTTTGTCTTGAAAAAAAAAAAAAAGCAATGCTGAAACAGAACAGAACCGGACTTTGCTCTTTTGTCTTCGTGTGAATGGACGTTCGGTTTGTCAGCGTTTTAGCGTTGAGTTCACGGGGATGTTATAAACGTTCGTTTCTGTTTGACTCTGATAGGAACATTGGGGGGAAAAAAAGGTGAAAACGTCTTGTTGTTTAATTTTGATTTCCGCCGTGTCCCCGCAGCAGATGGCGGTGTTGGCAGTTGTTGTCGTTGTTTCTGCGTCGACGTTTTCTTTCAATCAGAGCCGTGAAGACGCACTTATCTCTGGTGTGTGTGTGTGTATTTTAACAGGAGTAAACAACACACACGAGACACTGTCCCACAGTCAAGAAGTCTTCCACCTGTGTGTTAGAATAGGGGTGCCCAACCTCTGGTCCAGGGTCTCAGTGGGACACAGTGAATTCAAAAACAATCTAGAAACTATCCCTTTACTTTTTTTATATTCAAAGATAATCTGGGAATGTTTCAAGACAACAGGTCATTTAGACTCCGATACTAACAGAAGAAAGATGTTTTATTTTGAAAATGTAATGGTCCTTTCAACGATGAAGCCCACCGGTCCTTGGTACAAAGACGGTTGAGGACCGCTGTGTTAGGACACACACACATTTACACTCATGGCGGTGATGACCATGTTTTCCTACCGCTGCGTTAAAACAGTTGCGTTCTATTTATACCTGACGTCCGTTCTCGTTCTGTTGTTGTTTCCCCGTCTTTGCTCCACACGGAAGACAATGTTTTCATGGTTGTTGTCACAGAACACGGTATGAAATCGCACACAGTTCAGTTACGGAATTCCTTTACACGGTATGAAATCGCACACAGTTCAGAACTACGGAATTCCTTTAAAAAAAAAATGTAAAAAAAAACAAAAAAAGAATAAAAACTTTTATGAATAAATTCACACGTGGCTGTCGTTTATTTGTTGTTTTATTATTTCAATGATTTTTTTTTTTTTATTTATTTCTCAATTTGATCAAATTTCCATGACAATCACCCTTTGAACTAAAGGTCAAAGGTCTTTTTCATCTTTATCATATCTCCATCCAGGTTCTAGATGGTCCCTCAGTCACTCCGATTCAGGTTCCTGCTGCCGATCCTTTTCCTCAGGACTGTCTTCCACAACTGGACCGGAGTCATTCTGGGGTGGACAGTTGGACTGGGGAGACCCGGGAGTTGCTGAATCCTCTGCAGTCCCAAGAACGATGCTGCGAGCTGCCAGCAGGTGTCTCTGCTGCCTGAGGTGAACTGAGAGAAGAGGACAAAGGCAATCGATATGAAAAAAAAAACGGCAGATGGACAAAGGTGGACGTTTTCTGGAGACATTATGGTCAGGACAATTTTCTTCTTTTTTTTTTTTTTTTTTCAATTTATTTTGAGCCGCTTTATGCTAACTCTTTACAGTTTTAGCCATATTCAAAACAGTTTGTTTTCACTGAAGTTGTAGTTTTTGTTGTCGTTGTTTTCACTGTTCGTAAAAACAAACCTGTTCCTCTGATACGGATCTTCTCCACCTCTGGGATGAGGAAGCTGTAGACCAGCTCTGACACGATCTCTTCAGACTGACGACTGTTCCTGCTGTTTCAACACAAACAAACACATTTTTTTGCTTCTTCTTCTTCTTCTTCTTCTTCAGTCTAAAGGTCAGACCTCAGGTCCTGACCTCTGTTACCTTTGCTCCATGGCGTAGGCGATGTCGTTGACCTCTCTGGCCTTCCTGTGGATCTGGTCTCTGGCCTGTTGGTCCGCCGTCTGCTCCGTGGCGGCCAGGATCGTGTCTTCTAGAAACAAGTCCACGGTGTCCTGGTGGACCTGCACCACCTGTGAACACAGGTGGTGAAGCAGAGGTCACGTTTGGTCTTGTGCTGTGTCACGATGAAAAAAAAAAAAAAGAAATTCACTTCATAACGCACGCTGAGCACTCACCTGTCTGAAGATCTCATCCTCCTCTCTGCGTCTGCGCTCCTCCACCCGCCTCCTCCCGCTCTCCTCCGCCTCTCGAAGGCGGCGGTCTCTTTCGGCGAGCATTGAAAAGGCATGGATCCTTCTCTCCTCCTGGAGACGAATCAGCTCCTTGGACAAAGTGTCAAAGAGACATTCCAGCTCGGCACCCACCGCTTCGGCCCGGGACGCCTCCTCCTGAGAGGCCTAGGGGTGGAGAGGGAGAGAGGAGGTGAGGGGAGGGGCGGGTGAGGTCAGAGGGGCGTGAAGAGGACAGACAGGACGTGTTGGACCTCCTGCAGCTGCCGGTCTCTGCTCTGTTTCAGACTGAGGACGAACTCTCTGTCAGCTCTCTGCAGCTCCCGCTCCTCCTTCTGCAGAGCATGGGTGGACCTCAGCTCCCGGAGGAGGTCCTGGTGGTTCTCTTTACCCATGAACATCTGCGCGCAACCACGTCACGACGACAACAATGAGAAGAAGAAAAAAAAAAAAAAAAAAACGACGACCATAACCACATAAAAGTCGTGATACTTCCAGACCGAACCACAAACTCTGACCTCACACTGCACCCGTCTCCCTCTCAGTAGCTTCTGGAGGTTGATGACGGCCAACTCCATCTCCTCCTCTTCCTGAACCAGAACCAGAAGTCAGACTTAGTCACAGAGGAGACAGAGGAGAGGGAGTGACAACACACGGCAGCTACACACAACAAGGTCGCCTGACCTTTGGAGGCTCCTCCACTCTGGGTGTAGCCGGGCGAGGAGCAGGCTTCTCCTTCTTCAGGAGAAAACGTGACGATGATGATGATGATGATGTCATCACTTGTTGGCTCTCTTCCTCCCTCAGAACCTGAGGAGGACCACAACAACATGAAACTAAAAATGTCCAAAAATTGAAAATGGGTTTTTCCATTTGCTCACAACTCTGTTTGAGGAGTAGAAAGACAGAAGAGGAGGAGACATAGGAGACAGAGGACAGAGCAGAGACAGGGGAGACAGTACTCCACCATGTATTTGTTCAGCAGTTCTTCCGCCGCGTTCACTGGCTCCTGGGTCACCTCCTTGGTGCTGATTGGACGTTTGGGTTTCTCCACCCGTCTCGAGTGTCTGACCTCCAGGTCTGACAAACCTGTGGTGGACCAGTGTCCAGTGATCACTCTGTTTGTCAACGGTAACATCAGTTATCAGATTATTTTTACCGTCACACCTTCGTATGTGTCCAGATAGGGGCTCCTGAAGACATCAGGACGAAGGCTCCTCTGGTTCTGACTGAAGTCTCTGCAGCCTGCACGCTGGAACTTTCCCTCAACGTCTCTTCTCTGAGCCTCCAGTTTTCTCAGTGCTGCACATGAGAAAACAACTGACATGAGAGACGTATTTACACACACACAGAAACTGTGTTTCACATTAACACTCCATCAAGTGACCTTCTGGTTGTAAGGCACATTCAATGACCACCCATGTCCTCCCCACTTGGGGACAAACATTTTTTTCACATCGTCCCCATCCAGCCGCCCCTCTAACTCACACCCTCGAGAATTGAAATACTATTGAGAACCTGACAACATCGTCGTTGCTGCCCCCTAGTGACTGGAGGCGTGTTATCATTCAAGCCCGTACTATTTGAGAACTGCATTAAAGAGACATCTGAGATTTATCAAGTCAGGACAACGGTGGTCTTACACCTGACGTGGGTCTCGCGGATCTTCTCCGTCTTGGTCTCCCGGTCCTTCAGATGCTGAGAATGCAGATGGTTCAGTCTGTCCTGTGTCATCTGGTTCTGGGCCTGGTCTCTCTGCATCAGCAGGTCCTGCAGGACAGCCAGGCGGATCTCCTGGAGCCTGGAAACCACAGAGTCATGGTCGAGACGTCTAGTAATGACTTACGTTGGACACCAGGGGGCGGCTGAAACAAGCCGTGAACACTCTATCTAGTCACCTCTGGATTTCACCTTCTCTAAAGGCCCACTCTTTAGCCTCCATTTCCTCCATCGTGCGTCGCCTCTTGTCCAGCTGACTCAGGTCGTCCAGTGGGGGTAAACTGGACTCCCAGGCCCGTCTGGCACGAGCACGCTCAATCATCTCAACCTCCACCAGCCCGGCTGGGAGCCCCCGACCTGAAAATGAACGAGGGTCAAATGAGGTTCAGGTGTGGTTCGGATGTGGTTCAGATGGAGGATCAGATGTGGTTCAATGGGATTCAGATCAGGTTCAGATATGGTTCAGAAGTGGATCAGATGTGATTCAGAGGGGGTTCTGATATGGTTCGGCTGTTGAATGTGATTCAGATGTGGTTCAGATGTGATTCAGATTAGGTTCAGATTAGGTTCAGATATGGTTCGAATGTGATTCAGATGTGCTTCAATGGCATTCAGATCTGGATCAGATGAGGTTCAGAAGTGGATCAGATGTGATTCAGAGGGGGTTCAGATATGGTTCGGCTGTGATTCAGATCTGGTTCAGATATGGTTCGAAAGTGAGTCAGATGTGGTTCAGATGTGATTCAGATTAGGTTCAGATATGGTTCGAAAGTGATTCAGATGTGGTTCAGATGTGGTTCAATGGGATTCAGATCTGGATCAGATGAGGTTCAGATGTGATCAGATGTGATTCAGATTAGGTTCAGATGTGGTTTGAATGTGATTCAGATGTGCTTCAATGGCATTCAGATCTGGATCAGATGAGATTCAGAAGTAGATCAGACGAGGTTCAGAGGAGGTTCAGATGTGGTTTGAATGTGATTCAAATGTGGTTCAGATTAGGTTCAGATTAGGTTCAGATATGGTTCGAATGTGATTCAGATGTGGTTCAATGGGTTTCAGATCTGGATCAGATGAGATTCAGAAGTGGATCAGACGAGGTTCAGAGGAGGTTCAGATGCGATTCAGATGTGTTCAGATGTGATTCAGATGTGATTCAGATTAGATTCAGATTAGGTTCAGATGTGGTTCAATGGGATTCAGATCTGGTTCAGGTGAGCTTCAGAAGCGGATCAGATGTGTAAACAGACGGGGACTTTACCCCAGGACAGAGGCTGCAGGTGCAGCAGCTCTGGTGTAGACCCCCCAGGCTGGATCAGATATCCTGGACTGTAGGGGTCAGTCTGTGCCTCACTCTCCCTGTAGTCTGTTTGCACCGCAACAGTGGAGCAAGAGGGGGGCTGTCTGACATCTTTGTCATCTGTTGAGACAAAGTCTTTTCTGACGGAAACAAACAGAAACAGCGTCAGGAGACAAACAAACAACAAAGAGAAATGAATGATTTTTATGACGTTAAAAGTTTAAGGTTCTGGTTGTTGAAAACTGCAACAGTCTGGGAGTTACGTATGAAAGAGTTCTTCACAAACCTAGACTTTGAATTTATTATTAAGGGAAGATCGAGACTCACTGTGGCAGAGAATAAACCACATTGGGAAGAACTGGTTCTGTGACCGGGATCAGAGGTCTGGAGGAAACAGAGACATGTGTCAGAGATGGGCATCGTGATCTGTTCTAATGTCTTTGTGTTTTAAGCAGGCTTCGAATCTCAAACCGCTTGAAGTATTTCCATCGATCCACTCCGGTCACATGGCACGTGTCACCACCTGGACTGACCCTGGCAGGAAACAGAAACAGAACCGAATAGGGATTTATAGGGATTTATTCCCAGGTAATTCAAACAGAGTTACACAGGTGGTTCTACTCAGACCCGGTCAGATGCTGCAGGGCCTGACGCCGCTGCTCTGTGTGGCCTGGCCAAAAGCGGTCAACAGATGGCGGCACTGGGTCCACAGGGTCCAGGCGAAGGGTGTAGCGTGGATGGTGGACCAGGTTACTGAACATAGAACCGAACACCGGCACTCTCCGCTGAGACACAGTCAGTACGCCGAGACCAACAAGAACGGAGACAGGACAGAGACAACAGAGACAGGACAGAGATGGAACAGCGACAAGACAGACAGAATAGAGACAGAACTGTTTTTATTATTATTATTATTAAGACGTCCATTTTAATGACCATAGTTATTGGTGTCCATTATTTCTGACAGTAAAGTTATGTATAATAGTTTAGTGTTTTTTTGTTTTTTGTTTTTATCCAAACAAAATGTAACAGTCATTTTTGATAGTCAACAGCTACTATGACAGTAAAGTTATGTATAATAGTTTAATGTTTTTTTCGTTTTTATCCAAACAGTAACAGTTTGATAACGGGTCCAGTCATTTTCGATAGTCAACAGCTGGTTACTAGTCAAACCTAGTCGAACCTACCAGCCTGTCTGCGGACCTGCAGGCCTTTAGTCCGGACCGGACATGGTCCACCTCTGACGACAGCGTGTACACTGGATCTACGGAGTCACATCAGCCCGTTAGATTAGAAGTTCCGCCGCTTTTGCCCGAGTTGAGTTTCGGTTCGGTCAGGTTTACTCACCGTATAAATAATCGTAGACTCGTTCTCGTCTCGTACATTTCTTCACGGGCTTCCTCAAGACCGTCTGAGTCACGGTTTCACTCATTAGTCAGTATTTCGAAGGGAAATCTTCGGGATGTTTTTATTTTTACTTGTTGCGAACTAGGTGACACCGGAAGTGTTGCCGTGGTGACGGAAAACAGGGAGAACACCGGAAGTTACATCTCATGAATTGTCATGAAACTTTTTTTTCACAATTTCTAATGAATTTTCACAATTAAATAACGAACTTTCTCCATAAATTATATTATTACAAGATTATTATTTACACAGTAGTATATATTAATATTCTTAATATTATTATAATTATTGGTAGTAGTATTTATATAGTTCAAATATAAAACGTTTATATATAAATAGTATATAGTAGTAGTAGTAGTAGTACTAGAAATATTAGTAGTAGTAGTGATAGTATAACAAATACACACATACAAGAACATTCACAGAAACCTTAGTTAGCCTTCTGGCTAACTCTGGTCCCCTTTTAAATAAACTAAACTAAGAAAATACTGTGATATAATATACATAATAATATTTATCTATTCATTTTCTACTGCCTTATACCTTTCTGGGTCACAGGTAATCTTTTTTTTTTTTACCATTTGTATATTTTATTGACTATATTAGGACATATAAAAACAGGCTAAATAATAATCATTTCCAGAAACACGAATTAATACGTTATGGAGTAGTTACATTTTATACCGTTGACCAGTGTCACATGGTGAGCTTGTTTCACATGGTCAGCGTGTGATCTGATCAGTGAATAATGACGTCAGGGTCTTGGATCTGTGACAATAGTTGGGTCAACTTTTACCGCGTCAATGTCCAACTTCAAACGGCTGCCTCACACCCTTTACTCTTGTCGCCAGGTCTCTACGTCAGCACACACGCGGTCTTGCCACACAGTCGGCATGCAGCCCGTCGGACACTGTTCCAGTTGTTTTGTTGCTGGAGATAAGCTCCAGAGGAAGAAGCAGGCGATAAGACAGTGCTGATTACTGCAGCAGAAAGCAAAGATCACTCAGAGGTTCTTCAAACCCACCGACTGTCCTCTGTGGTCGGAGATAAAGACACTTCATAAAAGTGTTTGGTACAAAACACGCCTAGTTCTGAGCTCAGAGAACTGTCGTTTGACGTCTTAGATATAAATATATTCTCCTCGTGTTCTTGGGGGGGTTTTTTTTGTGTGTGAACATCACGGTAAATGCAGCTGTTTGCTTTGTCTTTAACATTGGCTGGATATAAGGCAAGAATTATTATTCATTTCTACAATGCAACCAGAACTTTACTCGTCACTTGTAGTAGTACACAGTACCGGCAGATACCTACTACAGTCCCAGAGAGTAATGAGTCGTGTGCAGTATTTCTCTTTACTTCAGTGGCAACCTGTACCTCTAAAGATTTAAATGTTTATTTCTGAGCTTTCTTTGTTACGTCATCGTCCTCAGGTGACATCAGTCTGTGTGCAGTAACCGAAAGTTAAAGTATTTCACTTTAGCTTTAAAAAAAAGGAAAGAAAAATATTTAAAAATCCTTGATGACAGTAATCAATATTCAAATACTATCATTACAACTTAAAGGCTACTCTCTCTAACTTGTAGCGCATCATGAAATGACCTCTTATCCAGCCTGTATTTTATGACATCATACTTTCCGGACCGCCGCGTACTCACGTTGCAAAATACAACGTGAGCACGCGGTGGAATGACCAGTCGTTCTCAATCCCTGGTCAACAGATCTGCTGACGTCCGGTGTTTGCAGGCCTGTCACACACACACACACATACACACCGCTGATAAGTTCTTCACCTTTGACCTCTGCTGCGCGTCCATATGTACGTATTTCTCAACACTCCCTTTTTGTTTTTTGAATGTAAACGTCATGCAGAGATCTGTAGCATGTTTTGTTCTTAGACCAAGGTCATAGTGTGACAGTGAACTCCAGCTGTGGGGTCAGTGTCTACGTCATTGTCTTCATCAGTATCTTCATCAGTTAGTGAACAGTAAGCTTGTAGGGGCAGGAGACGGGACCCCAAAACAACCCCACTTCCAGGAAAGTGCAGCTGCTGCTGCTGCCTCTACTGTCAAGACGAGGTCAATAATGTTTTCAAGAATCAGTTCTGATGTTATCTTTACAGCTCCCCGCTGTAGAAGTTTGTCTTTTTTATCAAGGTTAGAGACAAACACTGACACAGATACTTGGTTTTCCTTGTTTTTCTGTTTTCTGGTTGACTTTCAATAATAATATAATTTATATGAATAATGGTCGACTCATGGTTGACTCATTGACCACTGTGGCGACTTATTGACAACATATTGATGACTGATTGGCAACATATTGACAATATATTGATGACTGATTGATGACTGATTGGCAACATATTGACAACATATTGATGACTGATTGATGACTGATTGGCGACTTATTGACAACATATTGATGACTGATTGGCAACATATTGACAATATATTGATGACTGATTGATGACTGATTGGCAACATATTGACAACATATTGATGACTGATGGATAACTGAATGACAACAAATTGATGAGTTATTGATGACTGATTGATGACTGATTGGCAACATATTGACAACATATTGATGACTGATGGAAAACTGAATGACAACAAATTGATGAGTTATTGATGACTGATTGATGACTGATTGGCAACATATTGACAACATATTGATGAGTGATGGATGACTGACTGTAAACAAATTAAGGACTTATTGATGCCTGATTGATTACTGATTGATGACTGATTAATGGCTGATTGACAACATATTGATGACTGATGGATGACTGACTGACAACAAATTCATGAGTTATTGATGACTGATTGATAACTGATTGGCAACATATTGACAACATATTGATGACTGACTGACAACATATTAAAGACTTATTGATGCCTGATTGATTACTGATTGATGACTGATTAATGACTGACTGACAACAAATTCATGAGTTATTGATGACTGATTGACAACATATTGACAACATATTGATGAGTGATTGATTACTGATTGATGACTGATTAATGGCTGACTGACAACATATTGATGAGTTATTGATGACTGATTGGCAACATATGGACAACATATTGATGACTGATAGATGACTGGCTGACACCATATTAAGGACTTATTGATGCCTGATTGATTACTGATTGATGACTGATTAATGTCTGACTGACAACATATTGATGACTGATAGATGATTGGCTGACAACCAATTGATGAGTTATTGATGACTGATTGATGACTGATTGGCAACATATTGACAACATATTGAGGACTGAGTGGCAACATATTGATGACTAGCAACATATTGACAACATATTGAGGACTAATTGATGACTGATTGATGACTGATTGATGACTTGTGCTTTGGTGTGACTTGCCAATAAATGATAAATAATAATAAAAAAAATGCCTTATAAGTAATAGAAACAGGAGCCTGGAAAAAAAGCAGTGTTTTAATCATTTCCTTTTATTTTCTCCTCTACTTGGAGACTTCAGATCGAAACAGAACAAAATTATAATACGTCAAGAACAACAAAAATAAACTCTCGTCATGTGTGATGTAAAAAAAATCTTTAAATAATTCTACAGTCAGAAACCACCCATCAAAAACTCCCAGATAAATACACAATAAAGATATAGTGACATAATTTATATTTCTATATAATCAAAACATTTGTAAAAAAAAAAAAAGAGAGACAGTTGAGGATAACAGATGCCTGAAGACGGAAGTCTAAAGACAAAAGTCTGCTCCGATCTACAGGACTTTTTTTTTAAATAATTTCTCTGATTCTAATGGTTTTTTTTTTTAATGTCCAGTAAAGTCGGATCGGAAACGCTGTAGCCTGTTTGTCTTACATCTGGGTCACTCTCTGATGCAGCAGCTCCAGCTCTCGGGCCACCTCATTAGGCAGGTCGTCATTGACCTGGTCCACGAAGTACGACCTCACCTCCTCCACCTCCCTCTGCCAGAACATCTGATCCAGGGAGAAGAGCTCGTCCAGGTCCACCTGGCCCTCCAGACCCTGCAGGTTGAGAGAGTCCTGACACGGCATGTAGCCTACAGCAGAGGGCATCGCACCGGTCTCGCCCTTCAGCCGCCTGAACATCCAGTCCAGGACCCGAATGTTGTCTCCAAAACCAGGCCACAGGAAGCCGGCAGTCGGGCTCTTACGGAACCAGTTCACGTGGAAGATCTTTGGAAGCTTGGCTCCGGGCCGGTCGGCCATGCTCAGCCAGTGAGAGAGGTACTGTCCAAAGTTGTAGCCAAAGAATGGCCGCATGGCAAATGGGTCATGCATGATCACTTTTCCTGGAAAAGAGAAAAGAGCCAAGAAGAGAAAGAAGACGGTGAAGACAGATCAGTATCATTTTTCCTCTTGAACTGGTTTTTAACCATGAACCTCGGAGTCTGACCTCTGTGTTCAGCTGCAGCTGTAGCCTCTGACCTCATGGCTGCTCCAACAAACACACCGTGCTGCCAGCTGAAGGCCTCAAACACAAGAGGGACACCTGTGGGGGAGCAGACCACACATAAGTATGGGGGATGTTTTTTTTTTTGTTTTTTTTTACAAAATCCAGGTCCTGGTTCTCTCCTACCTTCTGGTCTCCTTCCTCCGAATATGATGGCCTCGATGGGAACCCCCTCTGGTGATTCCCACTGTGGGTCAATAATGGGACACTGTTCAGCCGGAGTGCAGAATCGAGAGTTGGGATGAGCACAGGGTTCATCTGGGGAGAAGAGAGAAAGACAGTGAGCGTTTCTTTTTTTAAACAACCAACATTTATCCATCCATCCATCCATCCATTTTCATCCGCTTATCCGTTACCGGGTCGAGGGGGCAGCAGTTGCCACCCAAATCACATTGCACCGTACCAAACCTTCCTGCGGGTGGTGAGTCCACTGGAAGGTACCAACCGCCCTAATCGGGATTCGAACTTGCCCAGGAGGTGAACCCTGGGGTTCCACACCAATGACAGAGACATTGTCTCTGGGCCAAAGCGCCACTACCAACATTTATGAACTTAAAAAAAAAAAAAAATTAGAAAATCTCCCACCATCCTCTGGGCTCCAGGGTTGGTTTTTCCAGGATGTGACAGTTACTCCTTCAGGCAGGGACTGGTCCATGCCCTCCCAGTAAACGCCTCCATCACTGGTCTCTGCCACGTTGGTGAAGATGGTGTTCTTGATAATGGTTGCCATAGCGTTGGGGTTGGTTTTGGCCGAGGTTCCAGGCGCCACACCAAAAAAGCCATTTTCTGGGTTGATGGCTCGTAGGTTTCCTGATAGAACGAAAGAAAAAGAGTTGGTGTGGTAGGTGGGGCTGATATAGATTTTCAAATGTTTCAATTCAACTTTTCTCTCTCTCTCTCTCTCTCACCTTCATCATCAAACTTCATCCAGGCGATGTCGTCTCCCACACACTCCACCTTCCAGCCGGGCAGCGTGGGGCGCAGCATGGCCAGGTTCGTTTTCCCACAGGCGCTGGGAAAAGCTGCTGCCATGTACTTCTTCTCTCCAGCTGGGTTGGTGACGCCAAGTATCTGAAGAGAAAGGTTGAAGGTCACCGAAGTGGAAAAGTCGCCGGTGGCTCCTGAGAAGTCGAATGATCATTTCTCACCAGCATGTGCTCGGCCAGCCAGCCTTCCTCCTTAGCGATTCGTGAAGCTATGCGCAGAGCGAAGCATTTCTTCCCCAGAAGAGAGTTTCCTCCGTAACCGCTTCCAAAGGACACGATCTGTCTGCGGTCAGGGATGTGGGCGATTAACGTCTGCTCTGGATCGCAGGGCCAGTTGTTCACGAGCGGTTCTGACAGACCAATCAGAATCTGGTTATTTGTATGTCCTTTGAAAACATTCGAATTGTTTACGTTACAATAGAAATAAATGGACTCTCACTGCGGAGGGGAAGAGGACAGCCCACGGAGTGCAGACAGCGCACGAACTCTCCACTTCCCAGGGCAGACAACACAGCTTTCCCTATGCGGGTCATCACCCGCATACTGGCCACAACGTAAGGGGAGTCAGTCAGCTCCACACCAATCTTGGAGAGGGGCGAGCCCACCGGACCCATGCTGTAGGGAATCACATACATGGTACGACCTGAGGAGGCAGGAGTTTGAAAAAAAAAGACGTTAAAAACTGTGTTGGTTCCAGAAGGAACTCACTCTTCCACGCCAACCCTCACGGAAAAAAAATCACTGATTTAAGCTTGCAAACCAAACCGCTAACAGACCAAACCCAATGCAGTAAACGAGTAAGGATACGAGTGTCCCGACATACGAATAGGAATACGAAGATACGAGCAAGCCTTCGAGCAAATTTTGGCTTTGACGTACGAGTAAAGACTTGAGATACGAGCACGCTAACAGACACCGACGCTAGGTGGCCGAGCACTCGGAGCAGGCCACGCCGCCTCACTTGTTCACTTCATGTGGTTGTTGACTTCTGTACGCATCTCACCGCAAGTCTTCTGTTTTGGGTTTGGGTGATTTTTGTAGAAAGAATACAATCGTAAAAAAAAAATACGTAAGCTAAAACAAACATATTTTTTCCATTGTTATTAACACTAATAAGGGAGTTTTATAGAGGGCCGGAACAGATTTTTTGTTTTTTCTGTTATTTGTTATGAGAAAAATGATTCGAGAGACGAGCACCTCCAGTTACGAGCTCGGTCCTAGAACGGATTATGCTCGCGTCTCGAGGTTCCACTGTACCTTTCATGCAGCCTGGGAACCGCTGAGCCACAGCTTTGTCAAACTCTTCCATGGACATCCATCGACCCAGCTGGCTGACCTCTCCTGTACGAGGTGTAGGCGCCGTGTCCCTCCTGTCCCGGGTCACAATCACCGTTTTGCTCTCCACTCGTGCCACGTCTCTGGGGTCTGTCCTTGCCAACCAGCTGCAGGCGGGGAGAGGACGAGGACGAGGACGCGGGAAAAGGTAAGAAAAGAGAAGAACGAAGGGGGCAGAGCATGAACGTTTCACTTTCACATTCCAGACACTTGTTATCGTTAATATTTATTCTTAAAATGTCTCGTCTTTCACATATCGCACATATCTAGGAGTCCCGTAGAGCAGGTTGTTGTTGACTGCTGCTCAGACCTGTAGGTGTGACTGATCCAGCTGGACCTACTGGTTTAAAAATGTAAGTGAGCCACTGATGACACAACTGAGGTGTTTTTGACATCAACATGTGACGTGGACAACTGATAACTGGACTCTATCTGAGACCTGCTGCTAACGACAGACAGACAGACACTCAGGCTGCTCTCACCAAACAGCAAACTCTGATAACCAGCACTACGACCCACCAGTTTTCATATTTGCTCAGCTTCTTGATCATCCCCTGCTCCTCCAGTTGGGTCAGGATGGACTGGTTCTCCTCATCGGAGCCGTCGCAGATGTGGATGGATTCAGGCTGGCACAGGCTCACGCTGGTCTCCACGAACTCCTTGACAGCCGGGCTAAGAGCACTGAGGTCGCCCTGCAGGACTCTGGGTCCGTTCTGGCTTCTGGGCTGAAGCTGAGGAGGCATGGCGGAGGCAGGCGGTCCTACAAAGATCAGCTGAGAGAGAGAGAGAGAGAGAGGAGAAAATCCAGCAGTGGATGAAGCTGATGAGGTCGAAAACCAGAGAGAGAGGAAGGAGAGGAGAAACGGAGGGTGTGGACGAGACGCAGGTAAAGAAGACTGAGATGAAAAAAAAAAAAAACATAAATACACTGGGAGTTTAGTGTGACCGGTTACCTTCAGGAGTCTCCGGTGCAGGCAGCAGTTCAGCTCAGCTTCATCAGCTGATGGGGTTTCCGTCGGCTGTTCTCCGAAGAGCTGAGAGATTCTTTCGTCGGCTGCCAGAGAAGCTGCTGCTTTTAAACCCTGGGATGTTCCATTTACTGGATGGTGGAGCTGAGGTGCACGGTATAGGGGAGGACGAGTGGGGAGGGGGTGAGAGGGCGGGGCTCCACCTGCAGCTTATTAATGTAAACCAGTTGTTCCTTACGAGACTGTAAAAACAACACGTTACACTGTCAGTGAATCATTAATCAGGACGCAGTGTTGTCAGGTCTGACAACTGATAACTGAGAGCTGCACTGAACTGGGATTAGTCTGAGGCCAACACACACACACACATATACACACTCCTGGGGTAATGGGAGGCTGAATTATGAAATATTTTATGTCCAACTACGTCCAGTCTGGGGACGGACAGGGACAGATGGGACGTGTTTCTCTTCTCCGTCTCTTCACGGTCTCCTCATGACATAACCTCAGGCACTTTCTTTCATCAGATGCCGGTGAACTTTGACCCGGATGACTGAATGATGCCGACTGGGCAACTTTGGGTACAATGTGGACGGGGACTTGGCCGGCTGCCTTCTGATTGGCTAATCGAAGGGGCTCGATCAGGTGCGGTGAAAGGTCAGTGTGTGTTTGTTGTTGCGTGAGTGCAAATGTGTGCGTGGCTGAAAGGTATGTGAGATCAAAGGCGTAGGAGTAAACATCATTCCATAATAGTCATCAGAGCAATTTGGCTTTGAAATCATCATGTCTGCGCAGTTGTTTCCGCACGTCAGTACGAATGGTATGTGTTGGTCTGAAACCGCTCCACGCACACATGTATTGCACTGCATAGGGGGCACGCCATTTTGTTGTCGTGTCCGAATGTGTAGTGCGTAAGGTTGTCCGTTACGTAGAGCACCCAAAAATATCCCATAATGCACTGCTGAATCGAGTGTACCTCAAATGTACGCTAGCGAAGCGATGTATCGCGTCGCGCACTCCATTTGCGAAACATTGCGTAGAGAGGTGTACGTCCGTTTTAATCGCGCAACAGTAATTACGTAATTAGCTCCGCGCCGAGGTATTGTCCGAAAGCATTTCCGATTTTTAACTGATAAGTCAGCTTCATAATGCACTATGTACAATTCCCTATATAGGGAGTAGGGATAATTATTACGATAATGATAATAATGATTTGTGCGTGTTTATTGGTTTGTTTTTTTATACTTTTTTAGTTACAATTAGGATAAAGACGTCTGTGTGAAGTGCTGACAAAATGTGCGTGTGCGCGTGTGCGACAACATTTTAAGAATGCAGTCAAGTGCTGTCTTTGTCCTGGTTAATGCTAGCGTTGATGCTAACATTAATTAGAACACCTGATGTATAGCTAACTCTTACATAAAACAGGTCTGACTTTTTCAGAACCGCCGTCAGATTCTGAACTCCTCAGAACAGAGCAGACC